GGTTCATCAGAATCTGAATGTGACCAAGACTCATTGGTTTAACCAGGCCTTTAGATAAAATAATTAATGAGTTTCAAACTAGTTCATGACTCTCTTCTCAGCTTGAGCAGCACGTCTGCTCTCCAGCAAAGCTGTAAAACTCATGGGTGAGATTCAAGATGAGTAACTATAACAGCAGTTCTGTAGTCATTCATGAGCTGGACTGTATGTATTGCCTTAGTCATGCTGGGGAAAACTCATGCAGACATTGGAATAATAGGAATTAGTCATGAGGAAGTGCAAATATGAGCCCTGTAGCTTATCCCATGTGGGTTCAATCCTGCAAAACACTAGGAACAGGAGTAAAATGTGAGGGAACAGTTCCAAATCCCACAAACATCTTGTGGGTTTTGGGTGCAACTCAGCATCAGCAATCCTTAGCAAAACATTCTGTCCTTATGCAAGAGCAGGGCACTTATTATCACACCCATTAATAGATTGTTCTGGGAAGAGCATTGCTATTGCAGTTTGTGTGGGGAACTTGTGCAATGAGAAGGCAGAAAAGGCAGATGCAGGAGAAAGATTCTGCCTCAACTTTTCAGAGCCTTGGGAAGAAATTCCTGTTTGAATTCAGCTATGGCACCATTCCCACTGCTGGAGTCTTTATCGCTTCTATTTTCCGAGTGCTGGCCTGTCCAAGTGCATCCTGTTATCATATGGCAAACAGTGTGCTCACTCCGTGACATTCCAGGGACGCTCTGTTTTGCATGAAATTATCACCTTTTACAAAGAGCAAATATTTGTCAGTTGGGTCAAACCAGCTGGGTTGCTAAGGGAATTTATGACAATATCCTCTTTTGGACTGTAAGCAGTGTTAACATGTCAGGTTATGCTGTGTCTTTTGGTGAAGTGCTACCCAATGAATGCTTTATGTCCAACAACTGCAGGCTCATGCATCTCAGAAAAAACCCATATGGTGACTATTAAGGGGAATTACTGTACATGCAACATGAAAGGATTAAAACATGGGGGGGGGGGGCAGTGTTTTGTTTTAAGTGCCAGTGCTGTTACTAATTTTGCCTTCTGGGTAGGTGTTAAGTTTAAAACAACTACAGTTGCTTTACCAAATACAGCTGAATATTTTGTGTATTGGCCTCCTTGGAAAAGCAAAAGAGACTCAGAATCAGGCTTTCCTGGTGGATTAGCATGAGCTGTTGATGATGACAAGGCTGCAGCTTCATGACTTGCACAAAGCAGTATCTCTGTTGTTGTATCCTTCTGTAATTGCCTGCATTTTTAGCCTTTGTGAGTGATTTTTGGTAAGCACCTTTCACTTTATCTCTGTGTAGCAGTCAGTGTAATGGCCTGGTTGATGACTCGTCTTTAAATCAGTGCTGTGTCACCAGCAAAAGCAGTAACAGCTCCTCCTCTCTCTGTTCTTCCATAGGCCCCCCAAGGATCGCGGATAAAGTGATTCACCGTCAGTCCGTGAGGCTAGGGAGGACCATCAAGCTCCTGTGCCCAGTGGAGGGCGACCCCCCGCCTCTCACCATGTGGATGAAGGATGGACGCACTATCCACAGTGGCTGGACAAGGTTCCGAATCCTTCAGCAAGGGCTGAAAATCAAGGAGGTGGAAAGCGAAGATGCAGGCACCTACATCTGCAAAGCCACCAATGGCTTCGGCAGCACCAATGTGAACTACACTCTCATCGTGATTGGTGAGTAGGGCTGGAGGAAAGCCAGGCTTCAACTGCTCTGGGATAAGAGAGCAAGCTGATTTCTGTGTAGCTGTCAGTGATTGCAGATTTGCTTTGCTAATCATTTACTGACCTCCACTCTTAACTGGCTCTTTCCAGTGTTTGAGGATTGCCAGAGCTGGCTACGTTGCTGCACATCTTCTGCTGCAGCCGGCTGCAGGCAGATAAGATTACGCAGTGCCAAAGGTTACAAATAAACAGGAATGATGCAATAGTCACTAGGGTCCAGATCACAATGAATTCCACACAGGAAAGGCTGCGTGATAAGGAGAGGTCACGCTGATCTTTATGTTTGCTGTCGTAGTTCTCAAAACAAATGTTAAGGCACCCATGTAAAGACATACAGCTGGAAGAGCCATGTACTGAGCTTTTGCAGATCATGGTGTCTTCGGGAATAATAGTATCTAGGTTGAAATGAAGCTCAGAGCTGGCATATGACCCAGGGATGCGCAGTTCCCGAGAAATCCCCTTGGGGGAGGCAGGATTGAAAAAGCTTCAGTTAATGTCTTGGTGACCATGGGTTCACAGGCTGTGCTTCTGAGCATCTTCAAAGGGCTTACTTGGTTGTCAATGGGATTTTCGGGGTTATCTTCTGGCCTGAACATTCATGAAGGCCCCAAAGATGCTTCTTTGGGTGATCAGAGATTCCACTGCTGTGCCTGCTGTGGAAATATGCTCATTGGTCCTTGTCTGTGAGAAGGTTTTTAAATGTGCGTGCTGAAGGATGCTGAGGGAACGGAGAGGGTTACAAAGCAAGGGGTGAGATCAGGTATTGCTCATCCTACTTTCTTATCAGTGCCCCAAATATATGGTCTACAATATATGGTTTTCACAGACAGTGTAAGTAAGGACAGAGTGTAGGGCATTTTCCAACTGCCTACTGGTTGGCCCTTGGCCTGGTTTTGTTCTATTTCTTCTTTTTCCCCTTCACAGTAGGAGTGTTGCTGTGGACTAAGAGCATGTAGCAAACACTTGGTGCAGCTCGATGGAGGATTATCACCTGATAACAAGGTGATTCTTGGAGAATGCACTTTGCTGCA